AGGGTTTTTGAAGAAGGATATTGATACCATTCAGCAGCAAAACAGCCTCCCCCTCTTTCTCTTCTTATTTTCAATGTTAGACTTTTATTTTCCTAGAAGGGGGTTTTAATGTGAATTTCTAAACATGAAAATCATGGATTCTATTTTTCCAGAAAAAAGATAATAGAGAAGCACTGTCATCTTGCAGAGAACACAGCCAACAGCTTTAAATAAAAGAGGCCAGGACGGGAGTGTGAGTTAAAACCGGAGAGGTGAAAATCCCACCTGATCAGCTGATCTTTTCTCGTTATTCAAAATGTAAATTGTGGAAGCAGAAGGGAAGATGATTATTCCAAAGAGCAAATATCCTCATCCAGCCCACTTTTCTCTAGCTCAATCCCTAGTCTCTAACCTGCCTGTCCTGACAGTGTGCATCCCTTGTCCTCAAGGAAGCCATATTTCAATTTTGTCAGGACTGCTGGTTAAATGCTGACTCAGTACTGATGGTGTTGATTCCTTTCTCTATGATAGCAAGGAAATCACCCAAACCTCATTTTATGTGACAAGCAAAATACCCGTCTCCCAGGACAGAACAATAGGCTGTGACAGCCTTAGGTAGGAATTCTGTGAACAAGGATTATTTGAGTCATTTTGTATCTATGTATATTTTTTCATGCTTACTCTTGCTTTAGTATAACAGGCATATCTGTTTTATTAAAGGCAAATTTAAGATAGGTTAAGGTAATTCTCAGACTTGTGCTGTTGCTTTTGTCCATGTTATATGACTGTAGCCTCAAAAATACCAACCAGCCTGATAGTGGTAGCTATGTTTGCTCAAGCAGAGTAATTCAGGGTCTGAATGGGGTGGGAGGGAGAGTCGAGAAATTTTGTATTAAAATTCTGTTTTTCTAAATATGACAGTGTGTATTTCCCATACATGCTGATGGATTTTTAAATAATAGTCATAGTTCTTATCTTTGTTGGGAGTTATTTTGCATTTATTGCCCTATGCTTAACATTACTTCTAGTAGCAAAACGTCCGTTCTAGAAAGAATTGCAGTAAAATGAGCTAAATGTTTTGAGTCTGAGATGTTGTGTCATCAGACCTGACCTCTCTTGATTTCCTCAGTGTATAAAATGCAAACTTCAATACCCATCTCAAAATCTGTTTATAGGTCAAGCTGACAACACCTCCTTGAACATTTTCTATCTAATTAGCACATTTTCCGTTTGTATTAATTACAGACCAGTCTGTCTGCAGATGAAAAAGAGCAGCATCTTCTCCTTTATCTGCTCCTCATGGGAAATAATTCTGTTTGTGAAGTTAGTAGGTGTTAGCTTAGCAAAGAGTGGTGGGTGTTAAATGTATTTATGATGTTAATATTTTACTCCTCCATATTATTTACCATTTAAGAATAAATATATATTACACTAAATTAATAATGAGATAAGGGGTTTTTGAGGGAATAAACTGAGTCCAAGAAAGTGTTATGATTTGGTCATAGTTTAGCTCTTAGCGCAGAAAGGTGTAAAGGCCAGGTAGTTTAAATCCTAGATGTGTGCTTCAGCCATAAAATGTATCTCTTCACTGTTTAGAAGATATTACAGTAACTAATTTCACAGAAGTAGAATGTCTTCTTGCCACAGAAATAAATTGACAGTTACTGAGGGTGAGTTATACTAGCCTGATGTATAGCTTAACTGACGTACTGTTATGTGTATCCCTGCCAACATACATATTCCAAAGTTATATTTCAGTCATTGAATTCTTTACCTCTATGCAAAAAAAAAATAGTTTTGCTGAAATGAAGTCCATTCAGTTTTTGAATTTTAGGTAGCACTATCCGTTTGCATATGTCTGCAGGAAATACAGACAGCTTTGTGCTCCACAGATGTAAATCTAAGGTCTTCTTAAAAATCGTCAGTGTTATTAACCTTTCATTAAGGATCTGTGCTAATGAGAGTTTAGATGTAGGTGAAGACTTAGTGTTTCATGCATAGCAGCATTCAACCTGCACCTAGGAACTCAGAAATGTTAACTATAGACCTTTGGTTAAGTGTTTCTTTTAGTTTGTAGTTAGGTAAAGGTAAACCCAAGATATCGGCCCTTCTGTTTAGTTACAGGACCGTATTTTCTTACTGTGGACAGTACTGAAACAGTGTAAACAAGATCTACTGAACACTTTAAAGTTCTGGACCTAAGAGTAGCTGTGATCTATTAGAATTGATAATGATCAGCAGTACCAATGTGAGTCCTTTTGTGGGCAGAAACACTTCCACCTAATGTCTGTTTTCTCTCTCTCTTTCTTTCTAGATGCAACAGTTATTCCACGAAAACTATGAACACAACCGCAAGGGTTACATTCAAGATCTTCACAACAGCAAGATTCACACCGCCATAACACTTCATCCAAACAAAAGACCGGCCTACCAATACAGGCTGCACAACTACATACTGAGTCGCAAAATTTCTGAACTGCGCTATCGGACCATCCAGCTCCATAGAGAAAGTGCCCTGATGAGCAAGCTCAGTAACAGTGAAGTGAGTAAGGAAGATCAGCAACTGGGAGTGCTGCCATCTTTCAGTCATTTCCAACCACATGAAAGGGATGAAGTCATCGAGTGGGAGTTTCTGACAGGAAAATTTCTTTACTCAATGGTGGAGAACCAGCCACCCCGGCAGAGCCTGAGCAGCGTCCTGCGGGCTGCACTGGATGACACTGTGATGCAAGTCATGGAAATGATAAATGAGAACTCTAGATCTAGAGGAAGGCTTATTGATTTCAAGGAAATACAGTACGGCTACCGCAGGGTGGACCCTCTGCATGGAGTGGAGTACATCCTGGATTTACTGCTTTTGTACAAAAGGCACAAAGGAAGGAAAGTTACTGTTCCTGTGAGACGCCACGCTTACCTTCAGCAATTGTTTAGCAAGCCTTTCTTCAAAGAAGCAGAGGAGCTGGATGTAAGAAGCCTTCTGGAGGGTACCAACACTGGCACTCAGTCTTTCTCTTTTCTTTCAAATTCTTTAAAGATTTTTTCTTCATCATTCCAAGGCACCAAAGACATTGGGGGACGCAGTGACAAGAAAATACATATTCTTGTCCCTCTCACAGGAAGATTTGACATTTTCTCAAGATTTATGGATAACTTTGAGAAGACATGTCTGATTCCCAGGCAGAATGTAAAGCTGGCAATAATTCTCTTCAGTGGTGAGTCGGGGCAAGACTCCAGCAAACACATAGAGCTAATGAAAGAATACAGGATTAAGTATCCTAAGGCAGATATGACCCTAATTCCCATGGCAGGAAAGTTTTCTAGAGGTTTAGGTCTTGAAATGGCCTCATCTCAATTTGACAACGGCACTTTGCTGCTCTTCTGTGATGTTGATCTGGTATTCACACCAGACTTCCTCCAGCGATGCAGAGATAACACTATTCAGGGAGAACAGGTTTACTACCCTATCATCTTTAGCCAATATGATCCAAAAGTAATATATGGAGGTAAAGGTCCAGCAGACAGTAGTTTTGTTTTTACAAAAAGAACTGGATTTTGGAGGGAGTATGGATTTGGAATTACCTGTATTTACAAAAGTGATCTACTTACTGCTGGTGGATTTGATACCTCAATTCAAGGCTGGGGACTGGAGGATGTAGACCTCTTTACTAAAGTGATAACATCTGGCTTGAAGGCTTTCAGAAGTCAAGAAGTAGGAGTCGTCCACATTTTTCATCCAGTTCAGTGTGACCCCAATTTAGATCCAAAACAGTACAAAATGTGCTTAGGGTCCAAAGCAAGTACATTTGCCTCTACCATGCAGCTTGCTGAACTCTGGCTACAGAAACATTTGGGTGTCAGGTACAATCGAACTCTCTCCTGACGTCTCAGCCTATTTGGCCTTCTTAGGGGAGTTTACCTCATTATTGTTATTATTATTATTTGTTTTTACTGTCTTAGTTTTAAACTCCCTCCTTGTTGTCTTCCAAAGACTGTTAACCTCAAATGGGATGAGTCTGCTGTTCACTGATGTTTCTTATACCTACTGAACTGGTGAGGTGATCCTTATGTTTCCTTTATTTGAAATTCAGTCAAGTCATGGAAGTCACGTGATCCAATGGAGCATATCTGTCACAAGAGACTGCATCAGAAGAATGTTCTCTTTTGGCTTTGGGATGCAGTATCATCTTTGTTTTTTTTTCTCAGATTTGATGTGATACAAATATTTACTGGTGAAGGTACCACAAAAGTGCTTTATGCTTCTTCTGGGGATGGAACTCTATAAGATAAACTTGAGTTTTATAATTTATATGAGGACTTATATGTATAAATGCTACTTTTCTTCATCATTAGAATTTTTAAAGTAAATGAATAACTATGATTGTACCTTTATTTTTTAAAAAAGAGACAAAAACTGAGGAGCTACTGGCAAATACAACTGGTACTGGCTACCAAGGTCCTTAAATGTCTTAATATAAAAACAAACTCCTCATTGTTGTTCACTCTAAGTGTAAATGAACTTTATTTTCACAAGGAACAGGATTTAATCAAATGCTTATATACACTTTAGGAGATCTGTGATCAAACGTCCTCCATTTGCAGGCAAGAAGAAACTATGACTTGACATGGTCAGTTATGATAAAATGCAGATATACAGTATTCTTCTTCTTAAACACATCATATTTTTGTTTCTCTTTTTAGAATGAGTCTGTAATACATAACTTTCTTTTACATTCCTTTCATAAAGCTACACTTGATACAGAGTGTTAGAAGTTAAAGCTGTATCTTTTTATGTTTTCCTTCAATATTGGTACTCAGTAGCAATTTTTTGTTAAAATAACTGTAGAATAATTATTTAAGTTTCAAAATTTGTATTGCTGGTCAAAGTTCCTTGCAAATATATTTATATTAGTGGAGGTTATAAGACTGTGTTAAGATTTATCTCTCTGGACAATCTGAAGTTGTGATAGCGTGGATCCACAGAGTATTTAAAATGATACCAACATAAGAAATAATAAAGTCAATTTCTGTATTATAGAGAAATGTTTATATAGGGATATATATGTACGTGTATATGTGTGTGCATGTGCATATATCCCTGTATAGAGAGATATATATAGAGAGAGTAATATCAAAATGTGTTCCTCTTTTCAGTTCAGGCAACGATTTTTTACTGTCGCCGTTGTTATTTTTGCCACATGCTTGGAACAGTTCATTTGATATTGTGGTGAGAGCCCAAAGGCATTCAAGAAACCATCAGAATTTAGCCAAACTTAAATTAATACTGTGGGTACATCTAATAACCTCAGTACCCTTGATTTCAAACTATGTTTCGAATAGACCTGGGTACAAAAATGTAAGCAATTACTGAATTTAAATTTGTAAGTTTAGCAGCTGTACCTGACTCCTTCTCTGTTTCCTTTCAAAAAACAGCTAAGAGACTGGAATTCACTGACATATGTGTTTGCATAAAGATATCCTGATAAATTTCCTAAGCCACAAGGATTCTGTGTAAGTCAGTTTATGTCTCTTATCTGTGGATTTCTGTTCTGGATCTACCACACATGAAAGAAGGCATCCCTGAAAAGGAGTAAGTAAACTCAGAATTAAAGACTTCGCCATAGCTTTTTCTATGCTTTAGAGGAGGCCATCACCATTGCCTTGAGGACAGTATTAATTGTGGTAGATGAGAACAGATAGAAAGTAATTCATTCTTGTCTGCTCTCTGCAAGGAGAGCTCCTTGCTTGTGATTCTCCTGGGGGCTCTTGCCGGATTGTTAGCTCAAATGTCTGGAGAAAGTAAAATTCAGTATTGCTTACAAAATAATTCTTGGAAACCACTCTTTATAATGAATGCAAAAGTCACACTTTGTTCAATAAGAGAGCCAAGAATAAGGAACATCATTTATTTGATCAATCTTGACTAACTGATGCAACTCAGATTGTAAATATCAAAACTGAATGCCTTTAGACAAATGTGTGTGATGATTTCATAAACATGAACAAAAATAATGATTTACAAAGACATCTAAGGAAATCATTGCCTGTTGGGGTGTATTCCAGCACTTATTTCAATTACTTAACTCAGTGGCCAGAAAGTATTTGCTAAACTCAAAGTAAAATAGTACATTAGGACAAGCAATTAAACCAGTGTTTCCGTGGGGATAAAGATGTATACGGAGGGCTTGCAGGATCAGGTCCTACATGATATAAGCAAAATGCTAGTATTTACAAGTATAAATATTTATTTAGTGTCTGACTGATTCATTTGTTTATATGGTTAATTTCTTTGTTAAAAACCTGATTATACATGTTTATTATGAAATATTGCATTGTCTTTTGAAATAACTATCCTGAAATAACTTGAGAACTTGTGTTAGTTTGTTTAAGGAATAATATGCCTTCTAAGGAGATCATATTAAAAGAGAAAAGAAAAGCACAAAAGTGTTAGAGTAATGTTATGGATGTATAGATTAAGATGGGAATGTTTGTGCTAATCAAGTATTTGCTTTTGTCTGGTCTGAATCATAATCCTGATTGTAAAAAGAAATTTCTATGTGTATGATGTCCCTTTGTAAATGCATAACTAATGGATTCTCAATAGAACATAATGACCAACTTTTCCCAAAACTTCCTTACTCTGGGAATAGGTTTCCTGATTTCATTGCTTGGAAGTGGATTGCAAACTGCTTACACTTTTGCTTTTCATGCACTGCCTTTCTTAAGAAAAAAAAAATCAGCAATCCCCACACAGATATTTTCAGAAATCATCACGCCACCTGACATGATTTCCCATTTCCCATACTTAGTTTAACAGAGCCTTTGCACTTTCTGGATGAAGAAAGAACATCAGGTTGGGCTGCCTAAGACTTGCGGAGTATGCTCTGCATCATGGTCCTGGTTCTCAAGCTGGTGAAAGGCAGGGGGCCAGGGGGAGGCATGGTGCTCAGTTATGGGAGTTGTCGCCTTCTGCTCGGATCACAGAGTGGCTTGGGAGGGACCTTAACAATCATCTAGTTCCCACTCCCCTGACATGGGCAGGGATGCGTTCCATGAGAACAGATTTCTCAAAACCTCATCCAACCTGGCCTTGAACACTTCCAGGGAGCCATCTCCTTGCTGCCACTGGTACCACCACATGACTCTCCTCGGAGCTGTGAACCTACAGCACAAGCCAGCAGAGGAGAAGAGATGGGCTTGCTGCCAGCAGCTGCTTTTGGAGAGCAAAAGGGCCGTTTTAGTCAGGGCTTGGGAGGAGTGGAAGGAAGATGTGGAACTGAGGTTTCATTGTGTTGGGGTGGTAGGGTGTCCTGAGCAGATACTGTGTCTCCCTGTCCCTGGGAGGTCCCATACCTCTTCCTGGTTTCCTCTCAAGTGGCATTGAGAAGGAAGGAGCAAAACCAGGAGTCCTTCCACTCAGTGAGGCTAGTGGGACTAGACCACACACTTGGAGTCCTACTGTATCATGTAATATATGGGGGAAAAGGCGCCAAAAAGCAGTAGAGAAAGTGGCTCTTTCTGCACTTACCAAAAGATGTGCACAGAAGTGCCTTTTAGAGCTTTGCACCAGTATGAGCTTGACTGTGCCTCAATGCTCTTGTGAAAATTATGATTCTGGTAAAATGGCTCGTGGGAATGTATTGCAGATCCTGAGGCATTGTGGAGACTTCCAAGGAGCATGAATTATCCACCACATTCTTTAAATAGAGCAAATAAGCAATTTAAACTTCTTTTGGTTTCTTATGAAGCAATTCTAGTGAGTGATTAAGATGTAGTTTGCCACATAGAAGATTTTGCCCAAAGAGTGATGCTTTAAGATATAAACAAATCCCAAGTTTCAGTCTACATCTGATTTTCCTGCAAGTTGAAATTTTTGGGGAAAGAAAATGGACTAAGAGTTGGTGAGCCACTGACTGAAGGAAATTTTCATGGTTTTGAGGAATTTTTAAGAGGATCAGATGTGAAGAAAACAAGAAATTGCCTGCAGTAGATACACACAAAAATCAGCCATAATATGAGGGTAGCCATTATGATTATGGTCCTAAACTGCAACAGAATGAGATGTTTCACAAGTCGTAACTGTTTATAATAACTGAATATCACTGAAGTTTATACTCTGTGATAAGTCTGTAATGTATTAATTAAATTTTCATTTAATTATCGTTTTTAATTCTTTCATTTCTTAGAATAATTTTCTTTACATTTTCTTCTGTCAGTATTTATTCCCTTGGTCAATGAGCTGGCTTGGCATGACTCTCTCCTTCCTATTTTTCTTTTCCGTAGATCTTCCCATTTGCTGTGTATATAACTCCCGTATCTGAAGCTTTTTAAGCTAGCATGATATTTCTATTAAGATTTTATGATGTCACTGCCGTATCAAACTGCTGAGCTAGAGTATTTTGCTGAGTGAGTTTCCAGTCCTGCTTCAAATTGTTTCCATTTGCCTGACACTATGAGTTAAAAGTGTTCTGAATATTATTGCTTCATCCCATTCTCTCTTCTCCTTCTGGAATCCCACAAGGGAAGAAAATGCAGAAACTTTCCAATCCTTAAGTATAGGAGTATGAACAGAATCTGGGGATTTTCTTGATCTCTTTTTTGGAGGTTTTGTTTGTTTGGCCTTTTTTCTTTTCTTTTTTTTTTCATTCAAATCTCTTTTCTGGAACTCCAGAAGCAAATTTATCAGTTCCATAGTTTTAATAAATAATGGTTACTAAGTTGTAAGTTAGCACAGTATGATACAAAATGTAGTTTTACATACTTATTTTCCAGGCATCTAATTATTCATCAGATGTTTGCCATTTATAGGAACTTCCAAGACATATTAATATCATCCTTACTTACTTAATGTTTGTTTAGCATTAATGGAAAGCTTAACCATGTAGGTAGGTATCAGAAGAGGTACTATATACTCTAGGCCATTAGGTGTTGTTTCTTTCATGGTGCTGGTGGGAAGGTCTTAGGTCTGTGTAGGATGTTGTGGTAATGTTTACAAATCAGCCTTATATAGCCACAATTTCAAATGACTGCAAAAATTCATACAGCAGGCAAAACTTACCGAGCTTAACTAAACATGAGAGACTGACTGTCGGATTCAGAGGGACTCCAGTGTGTCTTAATCAAATGGTCGGTGCACAGGTCAAATCCATCTGCTACCACAACTGGGCACACACACTGAGGGCATTCCTTTGAAAAAAAGGCCCCAGCAGTGCAATAGGTTCTGTGAAGATATTCCTGAAAGAGATGTATGATAGCTAATCTAGGTGCCAAATACTTTTACTTTCATCTTTAGGTGATTTCATCAAAATAGGATAGAAAGAATAAAATTAATGATTATAAAAAAGCTTGTGTTTGAGATCATGAACATTTTTTATATTACTGGTTATCTGGGAAGCTTTCATGACTTGC